CGGGTAGCAATAGCAATGGCTTCTAATTCTGGACCTCCAACCCAACGTATAGCTGGCAAGTGATTTTGTAGTAGCAAATGGTTAGCTTCGTCGTCGAATCCCCATTGACATACAACGAGGTTTGCACCCGCACGCTGAACGTGGCCAATCATTTCAGCAAATGCATCCTGTTCATATTTTTGTAAGGCCTCAAATTCTTCAACGGTACCAATGTTAAGCTTGTGTTTAGTCTTAGGTTTGGGTGGTTCAAATGGACATGTTAAAATAGCGATACGAGCATCTTCAATAACCTTGGGCATTTGCGGGTGGCTGAGCTCTTTATCGATCAGTACACCGCGGATTAAACGAGACTCATCCAAAGATCCTCCAACATTACCTTCAATCTTGATTAGTTCAAAATCAACATCGCGACGTGATAAATCAGCTACTGCTAGAACACATTCAACAGCCATCTTGGCAAACTTATCTTGAAATTTGGAGACGATCTTTGACCCCAGAGATGTTTTGGCAGCTTTAAAAAGTTCAGATTCAGGTTGGGCATTGCGATCGACTTGATCTCCATCGTAGACTGTAACCTGGTCGGCAATTTTGTCCAAATTGGCAACAGCGACTTTGCAGGCTTCATGCAGTCCATCACCAATCTTGATGGGGTGAATACCCTTCTCTATAAGTTCTAGAGCCTGATCCAACATAGCACCAGCTAAAACAACCACACCGGTGGTTCCATCGCCAATTTCGTCATCTTGAGATTTGGACAATTCCACTAATAATTTGGCAATCTCGTCAGAAAACTCCATCTGAGAAAGAATGGTGGCACCATCATTTGTGATATTAATTTCTCCATCAGGTGAGACAAGAATCTTATCCAAACCACGCGGACCCAAAGAAGTTTTCAGGATTGACGCCACTGACCTAGCAGACAGAATATGTGATTTTATGGCCTCAACGCCGCTCGCCTTTTGCTTACGACCTTGATCTTTGACTATGATAAGGGGTCTTCCCATCTCATCCTGGGCCATTATGGCATTAGAGAGATCTGGCATCTCCATCATTTGTGGTTGTGCCTGCATTGTGATGGAAGTTCTTTATAAGAGTGAAGAAAGATTTGAGGGCAACGTATAAAACTTAGAACGCGCGAAGATGTTGATCTCTAGAGAAAGCTGGTGAGAGAAAGGTTGGAAACCTTCCATGTAGGGTGGGCTCGAAAGTGAAATATTTTTTTTGTCTCATTGATTAACCTGTGAGTGTCCTACTTTCCTATTTATTACCGCAAACCTCCAGCATGTCAGTCGTAGGGTCTATGATCTTCTGCGTTGAGTGCGGAAACCTATTGGACTCTGTTTCGGGCCAAAAAAGCATCGATTGTAACGTTTGTGCACGGTCTTATGATACCAAAAGGTTCAAGAATCTCAGTGTGGTCACTCAAAGTTCTCCTGATGCCTTCCCTTCCACTTTACGTGCCAAAGCTTCGCTAGTCAAGACTTCCCTGAAGTCTGATGAACTCGAAGATGGGGCTACAATCAAAGAAAAGTGCCCACAGTGCGGCAATGAAGAGATGCAGTATCATACCCTACAACTAAGATCTGCCGATGAAGGTGCTACCGTCTTTTACACATGTCCAAAGTGTGCTTACAAGTTCAGAACGAACAATTAGAAAAAATTTCACATAAAAGTCAGAAACTACACAGATATCAAAAATATTCTCCTCGTGCGTTAGTATATTACACAGCAGCGTATTCAACTTCATTGGAGTTCTCATACTCATACATATCCAAAGCGACGACTGCACTATCTCTGACAACCTCATCTTCATCCTTGAGGAAACCCTGCAAAATGGGCAAGACTTCGTCTGTAGCAATAGATCCAAGAGCCTCAGCGGCCTCATGACGCACCATGGCAGCTTGAGAGGTGTCCTTCAGAACCTGTACCAAAGATGGAACAGTGACAGGGTTACTCAGCTGTCCAAATACGTATGCAATTTCATGTTTAAATAAAGCGGATGGGTCGCTGAATCCTGTAGCTAAAGCCAAAGCTGCCTCGTCAGTACCAATATCTCTCAGTCTAAACATGGCTCTATATCTTTCAAACAATGGAGTGTTCTGGTCATTCAAAATGGTTTGAAGCTTGGAGATCTTTGTATTGGATCCGTCGATAGCTAAAGGTGGTGCTGGGTCAATGGACTCATACAGGGAAGTCTCCAGTTTCTCCTCTTTAGCCTTTGAAGAGTTCTCCCATTTGATTCTTTCAATCGCCAACTCGCAAGTCTGTCGAATCTCTTCCACTTCTGCAGGGTCCTCGTAGTATTTAACCAGTAAATCGAGAGAGTCCTTATCTCCCAAAGCTCCTAACGCCTCAGCAGCCTCATGACGCACCATAACTTGCTGTTCCTTGCTTTCCAGGACATCTCTCAGGATAGGAGCACTGGTCATGTTTTTCGTTTGTCCCAGCACATATGCCACCTCGTGTTTCAGAAGCTCTGAGGAGTCGGCAAAACACTCGCCGATATACTTAATGGCTTTGTTGGCATCTTCTGGCTTCTCGCTGTACTCTGCGCCGATGGATTTCAGGAAGAACAGAGCCCGGAACCTGTGAGCCAGTTTTATGTCTCCTGTGTTGTTGATAAGAACGTCTCTCAGACGCTCCAAACTTGTAGCTTCATTAACGTCACTCATTGGGTAGATCCTACGGAAAACGTCAGGAGGTTAATCACTTTTTTTTTTTTTTTTTTTTTTATTTTTCACCTCCCTGATGATTTTTTTTAAGATTATCTAAACTATCAGCAGTATGACAGATGAGGTGAGTTCGAGGGAGCGTTTTAGGGGGGGCGTCGTTTGGCGGTTTGGAGGCACAGCTGGCGGGCGATGAACATTGGGTGAGGCTCGAATCAGACTCCCCCAGATTTATGGGGCCATCTACCCTAAGCTTTGCCTACTCCATCTTTCAACATAATGGCCTTTCATAGTAAAACTAACCCGATTGAAGTTCTTAACAGTTTCAAGGGCTCCACATTGGTGCTTCCCATTGTGTCCATTGGTAACGTGCCACAATTTACCGCAGATCTGCTAATCCATAACTTGAACTTGAAGTCAGTGGCGTGGTTAGACGATTCATTGGTACATCCTTTTGTTTCGCCTGTGGATTACGTAGAGGGCAATGCTGACAATTCTATTCAAGACTTTTCTACAAGCTTAGAAGTATACCATAATAAGGATCTAAAATTGGCGATTCTACAGCAGAGATCTCCAGTTTTGCCAGGCTACACAACTCAATTCTATCAGCAGGTGATCGTGCCTTTCATCAATACCGCAGGGTTCTCCAAAGTGCTAGTTCTCCAATCAAAAGATTCTGCCTTTAGAGAGCAATCTGATGGGAGTTTGTATGAATTGTACAGCAATGATCTGGCTGCGAACCTGTCTCGTCTCACAGTGGAGGAACAGACAACAAAACTAAAAGATCCTAAAGAATTGTCTCCCGTTATCGAAATTCTCGTCAATTCATTGAAGAGTCCTGAATTGGGACTGGAAATGAAACCGACTCCCAGTTGTGTAAACCTGTTGAAACTACTTGAGACAGAGTTCCCCCATACAGTAACGCTTCCAGCTACGACCTCTTCAGCCAACCTTCAGCAGGAGCCGATTAAGATCGTAGTGCTATCTATCTATGTATATGAGGGAGACAATATTTTGGATGCTAAAGTGTTTGCTCAACGGGTCTATGAACTTTTGCAGATAGCGCAACCTTCAACTTGGGTTGAGCCTGTCAGTTGGAAGGGGGTATATGGGTCTCGTAATATTCCAGTGGGAATGGAGGGAGGAATTTACTCATAGAACCAGAAGTCTGTCAAACTTTGGACTTTAGAGGCTGTGAAAGCTGCACCTTACCTTTTGCGGATATAGATCAGCACCAATAGTACTTCCTGAGTGACTATTCTATAGACGGTGATCGAATAACAAAGCATGAGCTTTCTTCTCCACCTTTTAGTCTAGCTGAGTGATTTTCATTGACTCTCCGTATAAAGCATTCCCTAAAAGAGCTATGATCCGTTCGCTTGCACTATCTGTATTCTCGAATTTCTTGTAGATGCGATGCCACTCTGCCTTTCCTTCCTCCTACAACTTCCTCTTCCTGGCAACGATTAACTACACAGCATGTCTCCAGATCTTGTACTGGACCCAAGCCTAAAAGTGTGGGTGCTACTACCCATTTCGGCAGTGATGATATTGGTTGGAATTTTGAGAAGTTACGTGACCAACTTACTACAACCCCTTCCAAAGGTGTCCAAATGGAAAGATGTTAGAGAACAACAACAGTTACAAAAAGCCCGTCTGTTCAGGGGTAACTCACATGCACTGGTCTCAAAAAAGGAGTTTCTTAATAGACAGGCCTATTTACATGAAGCCCTTACTTCTGGAAAGTACTTGAAAAATGCAGTGAAACAAAAGAAGGATCAGATGCCACCTAATCCATTGTCTGACCCCAATGCTTCAGACGCCATGTTCAATATGCTGAAATCAAATGCAGCCAATTTTATTCCCCAGACTGTGATTATGTGGTGGATTAATTATTTCTTTGCTGGATTCATTATAATGCGATTGCCCTTCCCTCTCACTCTTCGTTTCAAATCCATGTTGCAACAAGGAATTGATACCCCTGATTTGGACGTGAGATGGGTCTCCTCTTTGTCATGGTACTTTGTCACATTATTGGGCTTGCAGTCTGTTTTTTCACTGATCTTGAGCAACTCCAGTGCTGTGCAAGTTATTCAGCAACAGATGCCAGCGCAAATGGGGATGCCAGGTCAACCAGACATGGCAAAGGTCTTTGCAGCAGAGGGCGAAAGTCTGCAAGTAGCCCAGTTCAAGAGTTCCACGGACTCTATTGAAGAAAGAATATTGGATAGTTATAAGTTATAGTATATAACCGGAGCCTATAGGATCTAAGATAGTTTTATAACAGTATCAGGCATATATATTAATTCAAGGCCCACCCAAAAAAAAGAATCTCCTGGGGGTGATTCGAACACCCGATCTCAAGATTTCCCTGAAAGAGAACATTTACAGTCTCGCGCCTTAGCCAACTTGGCCACCAGGAGGATTACTCTCATTTTTTAAAACGTCTTAGTTAAGTAGTGTAAGACGGTCAACAGTAAGCAAGACTCATTGTGTGGGACTGGTCCTACTCGTGTTTAGTATTATGGGACTCAATGGGAGTAAGCTGTTACAGTTTCTTAAACAGGACAAATAAATCCTGGCAAAGCGTAACTGAAACTATTGCTAAATCGAAAGTAAGCTTTCCATCTGGATGTTGATCTGAACATCTGATCAGAAGGAGGAAGAAGGCACTCCACTGGATTAGATACTAAAGTTGTTTTGTCGTTATGTCATTAATTCTTTTTATATATATATATAGACCTTATTTTCTTATTTATGTTTGGACTTATAATCAACGCTCTCAACACCATGGATCGTTCGTAATTACAAAGACCACAAAAGCAGACTGGATCTGCCCTTGAGCTGATCACATATGTCCTAGCCCTAAGAGTACGCCTGATATTTGAATATATAGACACAACGAATATTATAAAAACATAATTATATCACACACGCCGCACGGTTCCATTTTGTACATTAACTCAGTGAATTGAACCTAGACTATCGACCTTGCTCTCTAACCATGTATCCCCGTAGTCCAACAAAAGGCAAGGACCGTGTTGAAAAGAAAACACGTTTTGAAGACAGTTGTAGTCCCAATGGAAGCTCGCTGACACAGCTGGATGAGGAGGAAGAGCCATCCAAATACATCAACCATGAAATCAAGCTCGAGGAGCATCTCAACTACCCACAGTCCAATGATTCAGTCAAAAGTTGCCCTATAATAAGGTCAAAATCACTTCCACTTGGAAATTGGCGGTCTAGTACAGAATCCAGGGTATCAATTCCCATCACCCGGTCTAAAAGTGATGCAAGAGTGGGAGAATCAGAACACGACGATAATATGAAAACAGAGACGGTAATATTTGACAACGAATTCAAGTGGAAATATCCGAGAGTAAAACTGGATTCATCAGTAGTCCAGCCTTTGACCGTTTCCTCTTTTGAAGATGCCAATTCAGAACCGGTTACTGGACCTATAAGCTCCATCGCAAATTCAAATAAAAGCGAAACTCTGGATATGAAAGCTGCTCAAGTCAAAGCAGAATCAAACGACAACTTTAACGAACCAACTGATATGGATTATGAAACGTTAGCTTTTCTTAAGCACCCAACTGGAAGGGTTCCTGAAGTAGGAGTCGGACCCTCCAAGAATTTCATGACATCCCCTATAGCTGAAACTGACAACAAAAACAAAGACATACCTGTAAAGTTTGATCAACCAACTGATAGCTCGAAGGAGACCGTTGGTCTTAAGCTACTCGACACTTCAACATCTGATGTCATGTTTGGCTCTTCTGTTCACTCGGCGTATCGAAAACCTGAAGCAAACGAATACTCTGATGAGGTCGGAAATGAAACGGCCTCTTTTGCACCAAGTAGCGTCTACTCTGAGAAGGCTGGCAAGTACAGAGAGTATGGAAGCTGGAAAAGCCCGTTTTATGTAGGATGTATTCTCGTCTTACTCGGTTCCTTAATCGCTTCGCTATCAATATTGGTACCGCTAGTGGGTGAACTAGTAGATGGAACAACGACGACTGTCTTCAACTATATGAATCGGGTATCACCAACAGAGAGACAGAAACTTGTTGAACAGTTAATTTCACACTATAACCTATCTGCAACCAATACTTCTTCTTCAGTTTCTCCTAAAATAATGATCCAGATTCCGCCTGCAAGTAACCTTAGCCAGGATGGTGTTCAAAATTCATATGCAGGACTGAACAAAAAATTCCATTCCAATATGGAGTTGGAAAGCTTAATGTCTGAGAAAATGTTGCAGAAATCAATCTATGGAGTCAATTACGCACCAAGAGGATCGTTACAACCAATGTGTGGTGTGGATTATAACCAAGTTGTTTTGGATCTGGGTGCCTTATCAATGGTGACTTCGAGACTAAAACTGTATGGCTTACAATGTCAACAGGCTGCTTATGTTCTGGATGTAATTCAGGATATGGGCCTAAACATGACGGTATCGCTAGGTGTCTGGTTAAACAATGACAACCAATCAAATGAAAATCAAATATCGGAGCTCCAAAAGATCCTACTCAAAGTCAGAAGGAATCAGATTGATACCATTTTTGTAGGCAATGAAGTCCTATGGAGGCACGAGTTGTCTAGTGATTCATTGTTTCAATATATTAAGCAAGTCAAGAGAATCGTTCAGCAATTGGGATGGTATGACCTACCGGTGGGAACCAACGAACATTACTCGTGTGTGAAAGAGGAGTGGGTTGACAAATTAGACATTCTCGGAATTAATCTACACCCTTTCTTCAATGGAACTACAGCAGAATCAGCTCCGGGTTGGGTGAATAGCACTTTGTACAGTATCTGTTCTACAAAATCTTGCATGGAAAAGATTGCTATTGGCGAGACAGGTTGGCCGTATCAAGGAGGACGTTTCATTAATGCAATAGCTGAAAAGAAAAACTATGATTCGTACCTTAAAGGCTTTAGTGCGCTGGCACGACACCTCAATATTCCTTGGTTCTGGTTTGAAGCTTTTGATGAACCTTGGAAAAGGATATATGAAAATGGAGAGAATAAGTGGGAAACTGAATGGGGCCTGTTCACAGTCGATAGAAAACTCAAAGAGGGTATTGAATTGCCAAAATTTTAGTAACAAAACGGAGAAGCTAAGCATCTTTGAGCTTGAAATCACGTAAAATGTACAGATTGTAGTTAATCCATAACCAAAACAAGCCGAAACAAGCAAACGACAATGTAGTGTTCAAAATCACCCACAAGTCTGGATACTTGGCCGGTGGAACGTATAGCCAATCTACTAACTGGATTACTGTGGCTCCGAGGTATGAGACGAATGTTACTGAACCCCAAAACCAATGAGTATGAACAACTGTTTTAGTTTCTCGTTTCGGGACCTTTTTGGAGAGAGTAGGTCCTGGAATCAAAAAACTTGGAAGAAGCCATTTACTAATCCAATTGAGGTTTCCGATCAGCCAATTACTCAATACTCCCAAAACAAAATACTCCAAGGCCAACCCATCTCTCTTTAATAGAGGCCACATGCTAAAAAAGGCAATGTTAGAAATCCAGCAGACCATTGAGATGATATCCAAGTCTTTTTCTACCAGCAGTAGAGTAGTAGGCATCAATGGAACGAGAACTGATTTCTCATGGACTTGGAAAGAGAATAGATAGAACGCCCACGAACAAGCAGCAAAAGCCCACGGTAGTAACACCTTCTTTGGGTGAGTAAAAATGATGAAGCAAGATGGACTAATGGCAACCAAAGTAGCTACTAGTGAAATTCTGGTGAGCGTTTTGTCAGTGAATAGCTGTTTGTACTTTACCAGTATATTTGTTGTACACCAAAAGTTGGCAACCTTATCTTCAAACAAACCCCTTGAGAACGGAAAAACCCTGAACAATATTTGGCCAATTTGTGACATTCCATCTACTAATACGAAAGGTAGTAAAAGAGTTGCAAAAGTCAAAACTACTGCAATACTGATAGTTGCCAATCTCAACAGGTTGAAATTTTTCAAAGGCCAACAACTTAGACTCAACATGTAAAAAAACATGATAGGGCTATAGTAGAGGGCCATTTGCTTGAAGCTTATTGAAAGAACGAAAAAGATAGCTGATAATGCAAAATTATCGTACAACAAGTTTAATATGGACAATAAAGCAAAACCTAGCATAACTGAGTTGTATTGGAAGTGGCCATGATCTATGATGATTAAAGATGGATTGAAAAGGATAGCAGACGCTATAATAGTTTGCTCAATGGCGTTTTGGTTGAAGTAGTTAAGTCCCATCCAGCGACAATACCAAATGACAGCTGGAATAAAACAGAGTAGCTCGCTGAGAATTGCGGTTGCCCTCATGTATGATTTAAGATCTACTGATTCAAATCCTCTGGAAACGTCCAAGGCAAACCATGCTGGATTTATGAAGCTGCCCAATTTGCCAAAAAAGTATGAATGGAAGGCTGTCAAGGGAGGGTAGTCCAGCCCCCAATATTGCAAGTCGTAGAAGTACCATTTGTCTATGGAGAGATGCTGAGTAATTTCCATCCAATGCCTCTGAGCTTCAAAATCGCCAAACATTGGAGGGGTGTTGAAGCCTGAATAGGAGCCCAACCCAACGGCCAGCCTGATGAGAATTGCAAAGATGATGATGATGTATCGAGCTACCCATTGGTTCGGAGCGGGTCCGAAGGGGGACAAAAAATCAAACACCGGAGAGTTTTCAAAAGAGGTCCCTGGAACTTTTGCATACAGTAGATTGTTAGAGGGCGTTCTTCTATGTGGCATCGGGATGGGGGAAGAATTGTCGGGCAGAGCTACAGGTAGTTTGGATTCACGATGTTTTGGTGATTTCGAGGGTAAGATGCTGTGTTATATAGTATTTACCATGTGGATAGTCAAATCTGGTGTCAGCCTTGGGTACGGGAAGACCAAAGCACACTATTCTATATTTCAAAGTTATTGGAAGGTAAGCTAAATTTCACGAAGCAATCACAAGAACTTTTCCTTTGTCGACAAAACATTTACTGCCCCATAAGGTATCATCAGATTGAATCTCATCATGTTCGCTATATTCATTTTCATCAATGTTGGCTCCATATTTTGGGTATAGATGTAAAGCAGAAGCTGAGTGGTCCAGCCTTGAGGCCACAAGCCGTTTCAAATCAGCAATTCCCACGGTTGTGGGAACGATAAGCACAAATATGTCATCCTTGAAGTAGAATTTCAGCTTCAGCTTGCTTGTGATGAGACCAGAAGAGCTTGAGGAAGAACTTTTGGTCTCTGTGTTTAAGCTACTCATGCGTTTAACCAAATGGTTGATAGAGTCTGATTGTCTGTGTTTTTCATATTGAGAGAGTCTATCCTGTTGGTATTGTGAGCTGCGCCTCTGTTGCTGACTGGATGATTGATTATTGTATTGGAGTACTGAGACTCGTGGGTTG